TAAGGAGAGCTTTAAGATGATTGTACCAAATCTTGTGTCAACTTTTTTTTCCAGAGTTTTCAAGATCACCTTCAGTTTTTTATAGATAAACCTATAATTTTTTTACGCCTATCTTTTAACAGATGCTGAACGAATTCAGCAAGCATCATAACAAATCGTTTTTTTTCTTCTAAACCAAAGAAACATTAAGAAAATTTCATTTATGGACCTTAAAATAATCTTCAAAATGGTGTTCATCAGCTCCCGTAAACAGTTAAGGAACGACTGTTTAGGTGTATTCATGACGTCTGCACTGATGGCTAAGTGTGCAAAAACTTTTTCGATCGCACAGCTAGCAGTAGAATAATCTAAGCTGATCATGTTTCGTGGTCTACCCTGTATATGTATATTCGAAGTCAATTGTAAAAGGAACAAAAAAGTTTCATTACGAACGACACCAGGTAGGTCGTTTATTTAAATTACGCACCCGTAAAGTACAAATTCAGACACGACACATGCACAAGAACGTCTATATCCGAGATATGAAAGATTAACTTACAAATTAATGGAAGATTTTTTGATTCCATGTGACTGAAAGAATTCATACATGCGTAGACTTATCGTATAATTTAATGATTAAATATCTGTATTCTGTGTGACGAGTATTTCTATTTCTTGTAAGAAAATTCGACTTCATGTTGAAATTAGCATGATTTGTCTCTTAAAAATGATATAATATCATTTTCTAAATTTTCGTTGTAGCATTTGATTTAAACAAATACAGACAGACGATTTCTTGTCTCGATTAAACTGCGTCGAGTATTGTTCAAAAGTGCACGATCATCGTATTTGTTACATGTTCAGGCAGCGACATCGAGTTTTGTAAGTTGCGTGGAATTGCTGGTTGCTCAGCATTACATGAATATCCTGACGTAGAGGATTAGAATAATTGCGCGTAACGTGTCAATTAAAGCGACGTACCATCGGTATCGTTGAGTGTCTCATCTCTGACGCAACGATTACAGGTAAGCTGCGAAATGTACCATCGTCAGTTATTAACTGTACAATACGTCGTATCAGTGTGTATTCTCAGTTTCACCGGGAATTTTGTTTATCCAAACACACGATAAAATGATCTTTTAAATGTTTAATAAAGTTAATAATATGGAATCAATTTTCAAAATTAATTACGTTTTAATGATTACGAAAGTTTATAGTTCTATGATATAATATGAAAATAACTTCAATTTTTATTTGCGAAATACTTTCGATTATTTAGTCATTTACTTACAATTATCCGTACGATATAGTAATAGATACATCACTGCTTTGCTTTGATAATGGCACAACTAGAAAAATGATTTGGTGCTTCTGTTGCATAAACAAACTCTTTAGGCATACTAATTTTCTACCTAAACTAAATATTTTTTAATATATTTAATTTAAATAAATAATGCGATTCGTATACAAATATTAGCCAATTGAAATTTTGTATATACTTCCCTTGTAAAATTTACGTTTTTTACGTTATGCCACTGTCAAAGCAAACAGCGATATATGTATAGGCTGTGTCCATTCTCATTTTCGAAGTCAATTTTTTGTATCCGAACACACTAGATTTGAAATATTTAATAAAGTTGTTAATATAGAAATAATTTGCAAAATTAAGTACTTTTGGATTATTATGAATGTTTATGGATGCATGATATAATATAAAAATAGATTACTTAAATTCAGTTTTTATTTTGAAAAATACTTTTCATTATTTAGTTCTTTAGTTAAAATTATTCATACGGTATAATAATGTTACAAATTGACCAAGAAGACCAATTGCAATTGTGCCTTTGCTCCTGAAATCAAAGAATTTTATTAAAAAACAACGAATCAATCAATAACATCAATTTTTGCTGCGTATCTCGATTGTTGAGTATAGAAAATATCAACATGACAGTGAACATTAATCAATTTTGATTTTTTAGATTCCGTTTCAGATCGAACTTTGTTAATCATTGATACGAAATGAAATTTCTTCGAACCCTTATGTTACCTTCTACATGCGTATTTATGTAAACCTCGATATAGTAATACTAAAAACACTCTATACTTAATTAAAACAAATTATTCAACGGACAAACAAGTTACACATCAAAAAGACTTCACGTTATTTTATACATCTGTCATATGTTTAATACGCTCATACAATATGTATTTTTACTTTGTATTTTATTTTTTATATAAATGGTACAGTAATGTGTGGTACAATTTTCTACATTCAATGCACTCGAATAAAGGTATATTAGATTAAGACGGATAAGAAATTACATATTTATTTCCCTAATATCTGTTCACTTAATATAGATCTCGTAATAATGTAAGCATTAGTGAGAGTAGTCATTTTGTTTAAAATAAACTCATTTCAACACTGTCTATATCAACAAATGTTTATAATTACATCATTCACTTCTTATCGGCACAACTGTCTTATGTCTCGGTTCGTATCAGACTTGATATTGATAATAACTGAATATTTTAGATAACAATTCTTCAATGCTGCTTGCCCAGGTAAATCAGGAATGCAGAAAACGAAGAAAACATTATCTGTTGATAGCGCTGAGTAAATCTCTCGTTTTATGGAGCTTAGACTTTGTTACTGTTGATACGGTTGCGTTAAATTTGAAATACAATTTTATTCTTATTATATGCAGTTAAATATATTCATACACTAATTTGTTGGTGTACATAATATATTCTCCACGACAACAACTGAAGGAGCTACGGAACATTAGTGGTATGTCTGTAATTGTGTAACTGATTCTACTTCGGCAACTGCATGCACATTAAGGGGTTATTCTACTTAGATGGCCGAAAAACTATGCTATCTTTAGGAACTTTTTCCTCAGTAAATACAATATGTGATGAAATACATCTATTTAGTATTTATTGAACTACTTATAAATAAAATAAAAAAAATACAAAAATAATTTAATTGTATTTTGTTGTAAGTTTTTGCTTACCATGAAAGTGACCTCTTAGAGAACAGGTATCTCCATAGTGCAGGTGATTTCTCAAGTCATACTCATCAGAAACAAAAAATTCAAGAAGATTCTTAATAAGTACGAGTGTAGCTAAATTGTAAGTCAGAAGGTATTGACAAATCCATCAATAGAGTACTTTATCCTCAGACGCTAGTTACATTACATATTTTACCGATGTTACCAACTAGACAGATATAGATTTAAGTATGTGGAAAAAGAAATTTGATAACTCCGTTATAAAATTTAGGTTTCATTCGGGTCCATAGTAAAAATCTCATGTTTATACAGGGTTGGGCATTGACTTTGACTATCTGGAATATCTTCGTTATTTTTAGAGATATGGAAAAACTTTATTTACAAAAATTGCACTGCACCGAGGGGGCCATACATAATATTTCAGTAATAATTTTTCTGTGGATGGAAGGTTTTCGGAGATTTTAAGGTCACCTCTATTTTTTAAATGACCCACTATAATTTTTTAACCCTGGTAGAATAACGAATGTTTAGGCAGTTTCAACCACCTACAGTGCAAGGTAAAATCATTCAATATTACATAAGGTAGATGTTCGAATTACTGCCACCTTATGATTGTAGCGTGATTTCATTTATCCTCTTCAGCATTTAATTAAACTATATTTATAAATACTAACAATAATCAATTAGTAGAATATTCGTGTTTATCGAGGAATTTCTTAGTCAAAATTTAATTACAGTTTTGGACTAATCTTTGGACAAAAAAAAAACTAAATGTTCGCATACGTGCCAGTATCCCTCAAGAGGTTAATCATTTTTACGTGTTGTTTAACTTAAAAATCGTCTTGGTTTGGAATCTAATATTATTTAACAAAACTTTCATTCAAAAAAAAAATAGTTTTATAGGTACATTGATTATGAAGAATTAATTAAAATCTGCGAACAATCCCAATGTCCCTATAACTATCATCTAAGAAATTAAAGTAACTCTTATATACTTTAACAATTCATTTTGTACAATAAATACAGGTTAATAGGTAAATGAAATAGTTAATTGAAATTGAACTTTCATTTTTCAGTATTAATTTTTAAATACCAAGTACACACAAGTACATGCATTTCTTTGTTTTCATGTAAAACAGAATTCCCATTTAATCACAAAATTTTGTGTACACAATTATATACATTACGTTTTTATTAAATAAAATAAATAAAGGCGCAGTATTAGGGACACATGCGGTAATTGGGACATTTACCCTAATAGAGTAAAAGGACGACTCTTGTGTTATATGTAGGAGGTGCTCGAAGTGGTGTCCGTTAGCAACATTACAATTATCGAATTGTTAAGTCTTCTTATGACGTAAGAATTGTTATTTTATTGACAATTCTTATTTAACGTCGATGTACCTTGTACTACAGATCATTGTAGTCGTCTAAACGTTCACTATTCTATTAGGGATAAAAAAAAGGGCAGCACGCCATTTAAAAAAAATAGAAGTGACCTTGATATCTATGAAAACTCTGCACACAAAGAAAAATTATTACTGTCATGTTATGGTCCCTTCGGTACCATACAACGTTTGTAAAGAAAGAGTTATCATATTCCTTAAAGAAGCTAAGATATTCGAGGCTATTAAATTATTGCCAAAGCCTGTATAATGTAAATACTTTTTGAAATTAAAATAATTGTATAAAGTACTCTTTCAATACGATTACATAAAAATAAATACGGTAAGAATATTAACAAACATCCTTATATAAAATTTAATTGTGCATGTAGATATTCATTCTATATGGTGTACTTAAAAGCATCGAACATATTTTTGAAATTTCAATTTTTCATAGTTTTTACATGTGTGAGCCCATCACTAGTTTCTTATCTTAAATTACAAAATGAACCGACAATCACACTTGAAATACTAAAATTAGGCAGTAAAAACTACCAATGTATTTTCATGAAGAAGGCTTTAGTTCACTGTTTATAAAAAGTGATTTTTTCGTGTTTACTTGCAGAGGAGACTTGAAGTATTACAACAATGGGCGAGAAGACGTTCAATCTTACTTGGAACAATCACCTGGCAAACTTGTCCGGATTGTTCGAAGGGCTGTATAAAAGTGGTTCTTTGACTGACACGACCTTAGCTTGCCAAGGTGGTATGTTGAGAGCACACAGATTGGTCTTGGCAGCGTGTAGTCCGTACTTCGAAAGAGTTTTCAAAGAGCATTATGGTGAACAACCGATTCTTATTTTGAAAGGTGAGTTATAAATAATAGTTATTTATATATCGCCTATTAACATAATTCAGAGTTATTCTTGACTATTGTCTTGAGTTTATTGTTTGACTCTTTAAAGTCAAATTTTGTAATTTAGATGTAGTACTTTACAGTTTCCTCGTTCTACTTACAGTTTTAGCATTGAATGTACTTGTTAGCGTCAACGAGTTTTAAGTAGAGTCGAAGGCGGATGGCCTGTCGCTCTAGTAGACCGTTGGAGAATTTATGGAATAGGGTTTCTAGAATGTGTGCGTCTTGGAAGAAGGTTCTTGAGACTAAACTAACCTGGCGTCGCATGGTGGTGGAAGAACGCACTGAGTCATTCGGCTATCTGCGACGTAGAAGGTTGTTTATCTGAAAGAAATGAGTGAAAGTTGGGGATGGCAAGCAACCCGACGTTGCCTTAGGAATAAGGACATTGTTCCTAGAGTGCTAGAGGATCTGGCCACGGAGTGTGAAAGGCAGCGATGCCTTTTGGGAAGAGGACTGTGATTGGCCGCACGGCACTTACCCCGGAACCTCGAAAGATCGTAGTTTCTATAAACATCAAAGGCCTTAGACTAATATTTCTAAAGTATGTTGGGGGTGTGCGGACGATTGGGGCGGGATCGGGCAGGATCGGGCGGGATCGGGCAAGATCTCGATATTACCGTATTGCTCGGGATCCTGAGACTCGACTTAGGTTCTGAGCACGAACGGGCAGCCGATTTCGCGTCGGCTCGGCAAAAATCGAACGTCATCGCTCGGAAGCTCGAGATCCATCTACAGGTACGGAAAGGCTTATATTACCTTTATTTTTGTCTTTTGTTAAATCATAATTTGTATTTCATTACTTATTATTTATTTACATATATATTTTCATTACGACCAAATAGTCTGTATATACTGAATATGTCCATATACGTATTTATATAAATACCGTATTAAAAACTTAGGAGATAGAGTATTTTGAATTCGACAGTGTTTTAAAATAACTATTAATACAAGATACTTCATACTTATTGCTAGTAATTTATGTAGAGAATATAAAGGAAATCATGTTTTTCGGGACAGGTTTAGGTTCAAAATAAAAAAGGTACAAACAAACAAATACACACAGAACAATTACTTTTCTTACATGTAAACTTAAAAGAATAAACCTTCGCCTTTTTATATTTTTTGAATATCAAGCATCCAGTAAATATTCATTTCTGTGTACATTTATTTATTTGTACCTTTTCTTATTTTAAACCTGAACCTACCCCGAAAAACATGATTTCCTTTATATTCTCTTTACATAAGTTACTAACAATATGTATGAATATCTTGTATTAATAGGTATTTTAAAACACTGTCGAATTCAAAATACTCTATTTCCCACGTTTTTAATACGGTATTTATCTAAATACGTATATGTACATATTCAGTATATACAGACTATTTGGTAGTAATGAAAATATACAGGGTGTCCCAAAAATGTCGTCCGACCCGGAAATGTGGCACTCGGGGGGTGAATTGGAACAACTTTTTCACCCGCAGCGTAGAAACCTGCGTCAGTAGGTCAGTGTACCGATCCTGGTAATCGACGGCCCAAACGGTTTATGGCAGGGTATGGCCCAGTTCGCAGGTGATCGCAGGTAT